GCGTTGTATAAAGACTTAAATATTGTAAAAAGTTATTGTATAAATTTATTTAAAACATTCTAACAAGAAAGAAGTTTTAGTCTGAAAGACTTTTTGAAATGTAGTATTATTTCAATGTAGAAAGAATTGGCACTTGCTTTGAAAAGAATAGAAGTTAACAATGTACTACTAATGTATGTTTTCAAATGTGTAAAATTAACGGCATCTTGATATGTTCTTGTATACATGTGAACTGTTATTTTGAATGTTTAGAAATACCGTGATATGGTAAAAAGTGAAAGTAATGTTAAAAAATTTGTTATTCGTGTGACTGTAAAGATTAAAATCATGGTGAATATGTGTTAAAGGTTGAATGATGTAGTTAGGCTCTCTGACGCTACACTTTAGAGTTAGCCACTTTCAGAATAGTACCTCAGGGTCTAGAGTTGAAATTAGGGTGTGTTAAGAGGTCTCGTATGTTGAATTTTAACACGTTAGTGTTTTGATTGTAGGAGGAAGTGTTGAACACATAGACAGAAACACATTCGTGTTTGGTTGTTTTTACAACACATGTCAGAGAGCACGGGGAGAGATAATTAAAATAGTCATGAATGAAATAAGAATGTTAAGAAAAGTATATTCTATATGTTATTTGCAATGTCATTCTGTAACATTCATTAAACTAGTTTTCCTTCCAGATCTCTGGAAGGAACCCGAATTGAATAAGCTCCTGTTTGATGCAGTTACAGTACAGATGAAAAAGAAAAAAGATTGTTGTATATTCCGGGAGCTGCTATTGTAACAAATTTTTTCTTTTAAAATTTTCTAGTTTCTAGCTAAGTTATGATTGTAAAAGGTTGGCCTCGCGTTAGTTTCTAGAGCTAAAAGTTTCAAACAAGGTCGTTTTAGACCTCAGTTTCAAACTAATTAACTCTGGCGGGAAGTATGTAAGGATCTTAAGTTTTACTAACGTTTATTTTATTTTAAATCTTTACTATCACTTCTTATTTTCTACTTCCGGCCAGAATTATAAGCGTGAAGGAGTTTATGCAAAGTTGTCTGGCGAACGCCAAGTATTTAAGTGTGGCCTTTTTGCCAAGCAGAAGAGAGGAAGCCGTGAGTTCGAAGCAGGCCGCTTACCTTAGAAGTTACGCAGTTGCTACTTTGCCTTCCAGGCCAGAGGTTTTAATCCTCTTGATAAATTAAAACGTATTGTAGTGTTCACAGTCTCTGTGCTTACATACGCTTCCTGTTATTATAAGGCCAAATCTTATTCTAAAGTTAAAGTTAGAGTTTAGTTTTATTTGATATCTTTTAAGTTTAGACCCCGAGTGGAGGGTCATTGTATTCCGAAAGTACGGAAGTCACTGTATATAAAGAAAAATAAAGGGGTTTTGTATACCCTTCGTCTGATCCTATCGTCTACTTACTACAATTAGTGAACATAGCTTTAGTAAGCTCTCTGTTCTAGTCAGGTCATTGTATGTTTCCGAAGAAGGAGAAAAGAAGAAACATTGAACCTGATAGGCTTTGCTAGGTAATGATATAAACAAAGTCTTATGTGTATAGTAATTCAAAGCAAGACCTCCCCCCCCTCGAATACTACAAGACCTCCTTTATATATTAGGGTAAATTTTAAGTAATAAAAGTGTAGGGGACTCTTTAATGAGACTGTGGTTCTGGTCAGAATTCATTTGTTTCTCATTAGAATGAAAGGCATACTGCTTAATTAAATGTAAGGTTTTACTGTAGTATCAAAAGTAAAATTAGGAAAAATTTATGATACATTATTTTATTTTTGTTTTCAGGCATACCAGGAACCAGTAGGATGAATACAGGCCTAAATTGAAATTGCTCAGTTAGACAAGATTATTACAGTTTATGCAACTTATGTATATAGTAATCAATTACCTGTGTTGTTTATTTAGCATTTAAACAGGATAATTATTCTTTATGGTATGATAATTAAACTCCTTCCAACTGTTCTAGAATTTTATTTATTAAAATACCTGATTTTAAGACTTACCAAATTTTACAACAAAAATATTGCAAAAATGGGGGGGTGGGTGATCTTATTTTAACCCTCTGGCTGATCATCCTGCGATTTCCACAGGCAACTCAAATGGAACAAAATTTGCTTATCCCGCGATTTCCGCGAGCATATGTTTTTCTTCCCTTATTGAGGAGCACATCCCGTTTTTACCCCCGTTTAAGCATTGAAATAAATTATATACAGTATTAGGCGTTTAGTTTATGTTTTGGCCAACAGATATTGTTAGTTGTCCACTAAATTGCGGCATTGAAAGCATGTAGTATTATCGCTCAAACTTCACTTTTTGCCAATTTTTTCTTACAGAAATGGCTGCTATAAAACGTTCAGCGATTATCTTGATTATTTATTAAATTATTGAATTATTAATTAGATTGATTATTAATTAGATTTATTGAATCTGGAGCAAAAACTGTGAAGTTGGACTTTGCCTTGAACCCTGTTTTTGAACTCTAACATACTAAACTGCATTTCTAAAGTATTTTCCCTCAACAAGCACTTTATATTTTCTTAAATTTTTACATTTTACATACATATTTAGTCTATCACTATATCACTTAAACCAAGCATTTGTGGCCTACTTTTTAAAACAAAACACAGTAATTATTTTTTAAAAAATATATTATATTTTAGGAAAACAATCAGTCATTTCTTTTGCTTTTAGGAAATTTTTAAAAGTAATATCATGGATTCATTCTGATGATGAGCGTGTGACATTATCAGCTCTAATATGCTGTCTTTGCTTCAATGTCACTAATTAGTGCTCCACTTTTTTAAATGCAGTATAGCTTTTGAAGCAAAATTGCTTTTTCTTTCAGAAGTTTGGACCCTTATTGGAGTAATCCTCCAGTGTTCATGTTGAAAAAATAACAATAAAATATTGTCAATTAATTTATTTATAGGCTCTCTAAATAACTTGTTTTTCTACTTATTCTGTTAGTACAACTGCTGGGTGTGGGAAATGGCCTTAAAATTTTTTTCTGCTTTCTTTACTGAACACTTCATTTGGCCAGAGTTTTCAATTTTATAATTTTAATAATGTTAAATTCATTATCAATAAAGTCCAATCATTGAAACCTATTTCTTCTTCTGACTAATTTTTATATTGTTTAATAATTAAAATTTTTAAGTCTTAAAGGAGAAAAATTCATTTGGTAAATTTCATGCAGCTAATGTTAATGTGCTTGTTAATATCACTTTCTCTGTTTAATTTATGTAAGTCATTGTTATGCATGTTAGCACAAGCTGTCAGTATCATGGCACCTATGATTTTTCTTAGAACCTTCCTTTAAAAAACATCTAAATGAATTTGCTGTACCTGTTAAGGTTCAAGTTTCAGGGCCATATTTAAATGTAAGTCTTATTAAATAATTGCATGAAAAGAGTTCTTTTAAGTAATTTTGATTGTAAAAATTTTCGCAAGGCCTAAACACGTTGATTGTATTGAGACAGCTCTAAGCATGTAGTGTGTTGAAAGAGTTGTCTCCAGTTCAGTTTGTATACAGAAATCCTAAGCAAATATATGACTCAACCATCAGCCATTCACTGTGCTCTTTCCAACGTAGAGTTTATTTTTGAAATACTTTTCATTGTGTTGATTTTATCTGAACATTCTAAAACAATTAATTTTTGTTTTAGCTGTGCTGCATTGCAGTTTCATTTTTCACGCTTATTCCAACAAAAATTTGGTACTTACATATTTACACAACCACCTTTGCGCTGTTTGGCAATTTTTCACAGATGTAAAGATACTTAACGTGGGCAAGCTGGTAGTTTTCTTGTCTTTTTTTAAAAAAGATTATAAAATTATTGATATTCATCACAAACTGGTAAAAATTATCAACATATGAAAAGAAAACATTGATTTAAAATACAAATTTGAGTTATTAAATGAACCTTTACACTCTTCTTCAAATCTTTCTGTATTTTTTTTTTTTTTTTTTTTTTTTTTTTTTTTTTTTTTTTTCTGTGCACAGTGATCTGTTTTTGCTTAAAAAATTATCACAGACTTGAGAGACTCAGCTTCATGTAACCCTTGGCCACAGCAGCTATCTAAGAAACATATTTCTCCATTGTTCCTTTTAGAAAATTTTCAGCAAAATTCTGCTTATTTCTTAAATTTATTTATAAAAACTATTGGAACTCAGAATACAACAAAAAGAACACATACAAAAATGGCAGTATTGCTTGACTGAAGGAGTGACTGAATGGAGGTGCTGGAAGTTTGGTCTTCTAAATTTAGCAATTTCTACTAAGAGGGTTGCTTTAATATGTAAGTGCAAATTTTTCCATACAGTAAATTATAACTAAGTAGAAGTAACCAAGTACAACAATGACAAATTATGCACAACAGTACATCCACTGCTGAGCTATTTAACAAAAGGCTTATAAGGTATTTTCATTCTCCTTTCTGCATTCCTTCATGGTTTAACGGTAGCACATTTGGCGCATATTCGAAAGGTCCAAGTTCGGGTCCTGCCGAGGGCGCTGCACATTTTTCACATCTCCAGCATATAAAAATAATTAAATAAAAACCTAATGACTCTACAGTAGCACCCAAACTAAAAAGTGGTGAATGATGATTCTTCACCACCAGGATTTAGCGACTAGGTCCCCTAATCCCTGGTTGCCCTTTAAAAGGGAGAGTATCCCTTCCTTCAAAAGGGAGAGTATGCCCTCCTTTCTGCGTGCCTTCATGGTATAATAGTAACACACTTGGCGCGTATTCAGGAGGTCCGAGTTCGAGTCCTGATGAGGGCATTGCTCATTTTTCATGTATTCTTGCTTCACAAAAACCTAACAGCTCTACAGGCTGATAGCTAGAGGTAAATATGTCATGCAATTACTACATCAGTCACTTCGGTAAAAGACATGTCTTTTATATTCATATTTTGTATTGTAATTTCAGTTATGTAATATAATTTCTCAGCCAAGATATTTAGTGTGTATTTCCCCCTCCATTTTAAAACAGGTGTGGTTCCGTAAAGGAATAAATGGATTACACTCTGGAGAAAATGCAGATGATGCTACCGGTAGTGGATGGATAGAAATGTTCGGCACCTTAGCTAATCTTAGTGTTGGTGTTAATGATCAAGTATGTGGTAGAATTATTTTATGTTGTTCTTTTGTTATGCTTATGAAAGCAAGACATGAGGCTAATTTGTTTTATGACTGATCAATTTTTTTTTCTTGAAATCATAACTATTGTGTTTATGTGCTTATGATACTTGATCTTAGTATTGCAAATGATCTGTTAATGTTGAAAAGTATAAAAATTTTACATGACTATTTTTTAATGTCAAGTTATTATAATCTTCCATTTTTTGCTAATCTATAATGAATACTGTTATTTCTCTCTGTAATAATTTTTCAATAAAAAGCATAAAAATTACTAATCAAATTTTTTACCTTTCAAATTTTTTGTACAAGCATATTAAGCAGATATAAGCAAGCTTATATTATGAATTCTATATATTGTATATTATGCTTATATTTGTATACATGTTTTTTAAAATGAAGCAAGTAGAAAGCATTGTCTGTGCCTGTATTAATGCTGTTAATTTCTGGTAATAGATTCTCAGAATTTTTTTTATGATAAGTAAAGTTTATTAATTATGTAATATTATTAATATTCATATTTATAAAAGTGTTCTTGTGATGCATGAAAGAATTCAAAATTAAATATATTACGCAATAATTCAAGTTTGAACTGTGGAAAGGGAAATAGAAGAATGAGTCTTCGTACAACAAATCATAATGGAGCATGTGCAAGGAAGCTATGAAGCTATTTTATACAGTATGCTGGTCATTTGTCAGTATCATAATTCTATACTTGTATGTCTATCATATTCTTTGGATATTGTATTTTTGAAATAAGAAACAATCACAAAAAGTGGTTCTCTGTTCCATATGTTTTTATTTTCATTTAAATGGAACATTCCAAAGTGAAATTTTATACTGTTTCAAAATGACTAATTTTATGCAAACTGATACATAGTCTGTTTTGCAGACCTAGTTTTCGTTTTGAGACAAATTTTACTTATTCTTATGGCATTTTCAAATTTTTAAAAAGGAATTCTTATTTATTGTGGCATTTTAATTTCTTTTCATCCAATTTTCACAACTTTTTCAGAGAAAAATATGCATTATTGCATTTATTAGTTTTTGTATTCAAAGTACACTAAATCGTTTCATGGTATCTACCTCCTTAAAACAATCAATGTGACAGTATTTCTGAGACTATAAATAAACATTGGAACTAAACCTCACTTCTGTAAGATCACCACCTCCATTGGAGGCTAAATTGTCTGTAGCTGTAGGTAATTGTCTTACAAAATATTATGATGCCACCCACTCATTTTGTTTGGTGAAGACATAAGAGTTCCACTTCTTTGAAGATTGATAAATTCTGTGTAGATGAAATTACTTTTGGGAGAGAAGAGATATATGTTATGCTTTCTTTTTTTACCCATGATAAATATATTTATAAAATAAATTTTGTCAGATTTTATTTTGATAAATTATATTTTTCTGTTGCATTGCAAAATTACCAAGAAAAAACATTTTTTTCTTGGTAATTTTTTTATTACTGTTCAAATTAAATCACAAAATTCAAAGTAATTTTAGTTGAATGTTTTTGCCTTAAATTTTATTTGTGTGAAATTTCATTATCATGAAAGTTTTCGATAAGCCCTCAGTTTTTTTTAAATAAAAATTTATTTATATAATATGTTTTCACTTTATAAATAATGCTTCTATAAATAAATTTATTGAGCGAGTGGTTTATTGACTCCATAACTTAAACTGTTGGTTAATTTCTTTTTGATTGTTATTAAGTAAAAATAACATGTTAGTTTTTTTAAAATAAATGTTTAATCTAATTTTTGAAATTTATTGTAGAATTGTGCATATATATTTCTGTGATGTATCTTTATATGTAAAATATTTTGTAATATATATATTTCTTTTTTCCAGGTATTTAGCATTAGTGCTGATGCCCGCAATATTCAACTCAGAACTGGAATTAATGATTCTGAATTGTGTGGTCGAACTTGGAAGGTTATCAGTGCTCCGTTAAAGTTATTACACCATTCATCTAGTTTTTCAAGTTTAGATTCTTTATCCATTTTATCACATAAAGATTCTCTTTATACATCAGACTCTTTCTCATCAAGCAGTAGAAATCAAAGCTTTCGAAAGAAGAGTGGTGACAGTGTCATTTCTTGCCCACCAGTTTCTAAATGTGAAGAACGTTCTGAATGTTCTATACTAGAATCTAATTTAGAACGGTCAGAGAGTTCTTCAAATTCTAAATTAGATTCTGATTTAGGTGATATATTTTACAAGTCAGAAAAAGAAGTACCTAATATTGATGAAGACTTAACTCATAGTCATAGTCCTAGTCATATGAGATTTGATAGTATATGTAACCGAACATCATCTTATTGTAGCTTGGATGGAAGTACTTACACTGTAGAGCAGTCTGGATTGCTATGGCATGCTCCTACTGATGTAGATTATCAGATTTGTGCTGATGTTATGTGGGTGTGGATTAGCGGTAGTGGATGTACTGTAATATCTGAGACATTGCCTAATTGGTTTTCAGAAGGTAATGATTTTTCACATTTGTATTAGTAATATTAATCATTATAATAAATATGTATGCAATTAATCGGAATGAATTGTAAGGAAAATCCTTTATCTATCATAATAGCACAAATTTGTGAACGTTGTGTTAATTCGTTATGAAAATTAACATAAGCAGGATAATTTTGAGAAAATACATTCACTTTAAATAGACAAAATGCACTCACTGTCTTCCAAAAGATAAGGAACAGTATGTTTTTCTGTGTCTAATTTAAGAATGAAGCAACATAGAAACTAGAAATTTAGAGAACATGTTCACTAAACAGTTCTTTAATGAATGTGACATACAATGTTTCTAAAGTTCAACACAAACACGAATTACAACAAATAATTGCACTCTCGGTAGAGAAATCTAGTCTTGGAGAAGCAGTATATCACAGGTTTTTTTTAAGGAAAAAGGGGGTGGTAACATAACAAAAATTGGTTCTAATAAGGAATGTGTCTACCCCTAGGTGTAATACATTGGCTGCAGCGACATTCCATGCTGTCAGTTAAGTTGTTATGAAAATGTGAATGGGAAGCAATGACCAGACACGAAGTAATCTTTGTTCAAGGTCATCTAACAACCTAGGAGTAGGACTTGAAGCAGCGACCTGTCTTCCAAAGTAGTCCCAAAGATGCTCTATTGGATTCAGGTCTGCGGATTGAGCTGGCCATTCTAACTGCTCCATACCATGACCCTCAAGATATTCTTCAGCAACCTGAGTTCGATGCAGTCGCGCATTGTCATCCATCAGAAGAAATCCAGGACCAATAGCAGCGGGATATGGGTGGACATAATGACCAAGGATCTTGTCTCGATATCTCACACTGGCCAAAGTTCCTCCATGGAACACATGCAGGTCAGTGTGACCACCAAAAGAGATCCCAGCCCAAACCATTATTTCACCACCTCTGTAACTTTGCCTTTCCACAATGTGGGATTGGTTGTATCTGATGCATTGTTCCCCCTAGAATCAGCTGATGATCTGAATCACTCTCCAATGTGAATCTGGACTCGTCTGTGAAGAGAATACATGCCCTTTGTTGACTGGTCCAGGAGACGTGTTCTCTTGCCCAACATAAATGGGAACCTCTGTGTCCTTGAGTTAAGGGGACACAAACAAGTGATCATCTTGCATACAGACCTGTATTGTGCAGGCATGTGCACACTGTAGTAGCCGAGATTCTTGTTCCTGTAGCCAATAAATGATCTTCCATGAGCTGAGGCTCGGTAATGTTACTTTTTCTTCGAGCCGAAAGAGCTAAATAACTGTCTCCCACAGGTGTTGTAACACTAGGTCTGTCTGGAACATGTCTTCTAGACACAGAATCCTTGGATTCAAACTGATTCCATAGTCACTGGACCAGACTACGAGAGACATTGAGATGTTTAGCAGCATCAGCTTGGGACATCCCCACTTCCATCAATCCAATGGCTCACCACCTCAATGAATCAGGCAAACGACTTCTTCTGTGTATTGCCAACAAAACTGCTAATAACTATTGAAAATTTAGCACTCATGAACAAAGTTTTATGAAATCAAAATGGGAGGTTTTGCATTTCCATCAGAAGTGGCCATATGCCATATAAAAGAAAGATTTATTGCAAAACAGAAAATCTGATTTCTTGTACATCTGACTTTTAATTCAATGCCTTGAGATTAATTGACTCGTGAACATAATCATGTATATCTGAAATAGTGGTTTGTACAAAAGTTTTTTCATGTTTTATCAATGAGTTTTATTTCTATCAATATCGTTTAATTTTGAAAATCAAAGTAATTATAGATTATTATTATGTTAATACATTAAAATGCATGTTACAACATTAACAATGCATGTTAAAGTAGTCTGGAATTAGTATGCAATTTTTGGGGGGGGGGTTGTTAATGATATAGTGTCATTTATGTCTTTTTAATGCATTTCAGCTTATTTTCAAATCTATTACTTTAAGCTATTTTGGTACAAACAGTTTATGATCATAAACTCCAATTTATGAAAACAAAATGTAAAAATTTACTGAAAATCTATCATCAATCTTGTAAATAGTTTTAAAAAAATATTTGGCATTTGGATGGCTTCTGAAAATGTGTTTAGGTTTATTTCAGCATTAAAAAATAAAATCAGATACTTGCATCGTATTTTCTGTGATGAATACCTTTAACTGCAATAAGTTATCTAAGGTATTAGAATAGTATTAGAATTGTAATCACATTTATGAAAGTTTGATTGTGTGCTGCTTCATTTATTTACCTGTTATTTTTATATGTAATTTATTTCAGGTGGTTCTGTTTGTAAAAGTGCTGTAGATGAACCATGGTTTAATGATGTTCTTTCCCAGCTGAAAGACAGATATACTCGGGAAATGCTTCGGTTTTCTTCATATCCCAAAGCTGTTGAAAAGGTTTCGCAATTGTTTTTAGTTTAATTTTTATTGGTAATATTAAATTTAAATATTTAAAAAATTTGTTAGATGCATTATTTTGATCAATTTTTTATTTAAATTTATCATTTGTGTATAATGGCTTAGGAAAAGTTTATTGAATGGTTTTATTTTTACAGAGTACCTGGGTGAAAACAGTGACATGTCGCTGGTATAATAATAATAGTTGGGTAACTTGTCTGCTGGAATTACTTCAGTGTGAAAATGTTAATAAAAGTACTTTGACTTGTCATCACAAAAAGGATCAGGTAGAAATGGATTTCGATACCTTATTATGATTATATGTGTTTTATGTTATTAAATTCAAAATACATTGTGAGCCAAAAGTCAGTTTAGCATTTAAAAATTAAATAATGTATTTACTTATAATTATTTAATAATTTTCTTTTTAACATTATAATGTACCCATATTGGAGATTTGTTTGTCCTAAACACAAAAGATAACATCTTTTAAGTGATCCCCCTTTTTCCCTTGACAAAGGCGAGTTCTTTTTGTGGCACCCTCCATAACTGCTTACAAAGTGATTCTGTTTATCATTCGAATTTCCCAATGAATATAGTCCTTCAGCTCACCAGATTTCTGGGCTTTTGCTGAGCTGAAAAGCAATATTTGTAGGGAAATTCAAATGGTTAACACACTTTGCAAGCAGTCGTGGAGAGTGCCATAGAAATAACTTGCCTTTGTGAAGAGGAATTTGGGGTTATTTAAAAGATGTTATCTTTCATTTTAAGGCCAAATAAATGTCCTAGATATAAGCAACTAAACTGAAAGTTGAGTTAAAATTACTAATTACTTGACTAGCTAAAATAAATAACCCCCCACAGATAGCATATTTAAAAGGTTCATTTTGACCTCCTGAATCTTTGTCTCCTCTTCGTATCTAAGAATCAGCAAGACGGAGATCATCCTTACTGTCTCATAGAAGTACTAGTCATTAAGTCTGCTTAATGGATACTAAAGGATTTACTTGCGTGTTGTCATCTGCAGTTGCATAATCAGTTTTGAGATTATCAGATGCTGAACGTTTGCTAATCAGTGTCTATCATCTTCAATCTTAGATATAAATCATTATATCATACCATATAACCTTCTTAGAGAAGCTTTAGAGATCATCCTTGATGTTTGCGCGGTCAGCAAATTTCTTGGAAATACGTGGAGCAACATATGCTCAGTCAGAAGATTTCATACATTAGGGATAGCTGTAAAGTTGATTACTGAAAATCTCATAAAGCCCAGTCATTTTGAGTCCAACCCTGATATTGTTGACTGTTTGTTGGTGTTGCTGGAAGTATATGAAGTATATCATTTGTTTCCTTGTATAAAGATCTTACTCATTAAATCTTTTAAATGGAATGTTGACCAGTTGCTTTTCTTGCATAAAAGCTATTCTTTTAAGTATTCTAATATTCTATCATTGAGTGAATTGTTAATCTCACTTGTGAGTTTCTAGTTTGGGGGGAGGAATTTCAAAGTCACAAAGAGTATCTTGCCACTAAAAATAATATCTTAAAGTATATATTTTTATTAAAAGATTGACTATTCAAGTCAAATTTATTGATTCTCTTTTTACCCAAGACAAGATTATTTTTTATATTCTTTGAAAAAGTTCTAATTCTGATCATCCCCCCCCCAATTCAATTTTAACTAATAATAAACTCCATTCTTTCAAAAATACATCTCATTTTTGATTTAGGTATCGAAAATACAGTGTTGATATGTAAGGAAGAAATTATTATAGTTATGGTCCAGTTCAAATTGCAGAATGTAAATAAACTGGTATCTTGTGGACAACTAAAGCAGTTATAACTATTATAATCTAATGCAGCATGGAGAGAAAAAAACATTAGTTACATCTTTAGTTTTGATTTGTGTAGTTTTATCGGACTCTCAAAGTTCATCTGTTACATCTTATCTGTGATATATCAGTCATTGTACAATCTGGACTAAATATGTTCAATAGGAAATAATCACATAATGGCACATTTATCACAAATAATATGCATAAATATGACAATTAATCAAGATTAAGTTTAATTATTTGAAGATGGAGCATGCAAGAGATATATGCTTTAGGAGAGGAATACCTTCATGAAAAATTTAAGGGTGGTGTAAGAATGTTTTCAACTTCATGTCAAGTCTCGCATAAATAGAGAGAAAAACTGGGCAATTATTGTGAAATATATGTCACCTTCAATGTTTATCAGATGCATAAGACTTGAAGGGGGGAAAACCCACTATGTTTTGAGAAAATTGAACCATTATGTCAATCTAAGAATTATTGAATGTTGTGTTGGACATGAGGTCATCTGTTATTTTATTGGTAATTGGTCCAGATAGGCTCTAAAGATAAGATACAACCATAGGCCCCCAGTGTCTCTGAGATATAACAGAGGCTATTGACTGTATGAAGATTGCTAACAATGTGCAAATGTGAATGGAAATCTTTGGTAATTCATGTCAGGTACTTGACCAATATGGTCATGTAAACATAGAAGTCATTCAATCTGTTATCATAATGCTGTCAGACGCAGATGCAATCATCTTGATGCTGCAGAAAAAAGCAGAATTTATCTCAAAACATGTCATACCATTTTTTATTCATTTATGATGTTATAACTACTACTGCTCTGACACACATCCATAATTTACTGTAAAAAGTAGACAAAACAATTAGTGCCTTGCAGATATTCCCTGATGCTGATGCAGATATCAAATTATATGTGCAGAAGCTAGTGTCTTTGCAATTAACTCTAATTCTTGAGTTTCAGCTCATGAAATCTGTAGCAGCTGTGTAAACAAGCTCTCATTCAGCAGTATGATGAGGCTACTGGGATCTTTGATCTTCTCTATCTACTCATTCTATATTTAGACTGCATTTCAGCTAACATAAGAACCAGTTTCTGTGAAGGCTAATCAGTTTTTTTTTTTTTTTTTTTTTGTTATGTAGAGCCCCATGATATACTGTGAACAATCTGCCAATATCAAACTGCAGTGTTTTTTTTTTTTTTTTTTTTTTTTTCTGGCAGGTTTTATTTGGCAGTCATATTCAGAATGACGTTCTACAGATTACTGTTTGCTGTAACTTACCTCTGCCTCCATATGAATTCTGACAAGTAGAAAGGCAAGCTGTACTATATCGTTGCTTATTCCTTCGTTTTGCTGAACCCCACACTCTTTACCTGTAGATGCTACTCTAGGATTATAATTGACACTTCAACATTGAAATTAAAAAAAGTCATTCTTACCTTGTAGAGTCATTAGGTTTTTTTGAAGGAGACAGAAAAAGTGTACAGTGCCCTCGTCAGAACTCAAACCCCTGGACCTCTCGAATACACGTCGAGTGTGCTTCCAGTTACACCATGAAGGCACGTACAAAGGAGGGAGAAAATACCTTACATACTCCCTCTTTTAAAGAGTGACTGGAGATGAGGGGACTCAATCATCAAATCTGGGTGATGACGAATTATCGTCCACCACCTTTTAGGCCAAGTGCCACTGTATGTTATTTTGAAGCTGGAGAGGTGAAAAATATGCAGTGCCTTTTCTGGGACTCGAACCCTGGACCTCTCAAATACATGTCAAGTATGCTTCCAATTACACTATGAAGGCATGGGAAAAGGAGGGAGAAAATACCTTCTCTTAGCCTTCCTAAAAGAGGGAGAGTGAACATAAACTATAAAAAAGAAGACAAAGTAATAAAAATCTCTTCTTTGTTGAAAAGTCTAGTATAGTTTCTAGGGTTGTGAAGCATTTGCACAAGTCACAGGCGGTATTTTAATCTAAGCATGGATAGTTATCAAGTAAGTTACAAGTATCCCTATTAATATGGTTGTTGAAATATTTGATGAACATAACTTAAAATATGTGGGTATAAAAACAATGGCAATACTTAACTGTTGTTAAAAATTAAAAACAGTATATTTTCCCCCATGAAGATCTTGAAAGTGTAGTAAAGACCTGTTTGTTTTACAGCTCTAAACGAATTAAAAACTTTCTATTCTGTTAAAATAAATTTAATTATTTTATGTAAATTAATAATAATTTTCATATTTTTTTGATGAATTTGATGATTTTTTTCTTCTGCTCTGATAAACATAATTATTTGATTTCAGTTACCAACAGTTAATCTCTGTTCTTACTTCTCATTTATATTTACGTGTATTTATAGGAAATTTCATTTAATTAGGTTGTGATTCAGTTAACCCATATCACATGTGTAGCGTGCCTTCCTGATTGGAATAAAAATGTTTTAGCAATTCATACAGCCAAAAGAACTAGCAAAGGTTCACCATACAAATTTTCTTTTACTTCTAATGATGATTTAGAAGAATGGGTAAGCTATTCAGATGCAGTTTATTTAATTAATCAGTATTTAGTTGGGGAATGTATAAATTGAATAATTGATGAAAGGTTTATAAAAATGTTATAAATGTAGAAACTGAGAAGTAAACTTCTCATTTCCAGTTATTATAATGTGTTTGAGATTAAATATAATGATATTTAAATATTCATTATCTTTTTTATTGTATATACTTTCTCTGTTGCATTCTATTGTTTACTTCACAATTTGCTCTATTATTCTATCATTTGCTTTGCATTATTTTGTAAAGTATCATTCAAATTTCTAACCAGTTATTTTATTTATTTTATGTTAATATGATCTTCTATCGATCTCGTTTCTATTTCCATACTGTAATGTAAATTTTTAGCTCACACAATATTCAAATGACGTAGAAAATGGAGAGTATTTAAAGGAAGGTTTTAGAGTGTAAAATCAGAGTGTGTTCTGCCTGCTTGAAGGCCATGTTGCTAAATTTGATTCTCTCATGATTAGTATTTTGCAGGCTTGAGTTATTCTTGCTATTAAGCTTGTTTACAACAACTTCAGAGCCAGCAGCGCGATATGGGCATTGTGAAACTGTTGGGTTATAATTAGTTTTAGTTCATCCGTTGTCTTTAATTTAGGCCTTTATTGTTGGTTTCTGTAAGCATGAGTTGGTGTCAACTATTAAACTTTATCTGAGTTAATAAAAGGGTCTTTTATGCTCTTTCTCTGTCTCTCTGATACTTACAAGACATAGTGATAATTCACAGATTGTATTTTGGAGTTTTGGTCTAATTTTATGCTATCTGAGAAGACCAAACTCTACAGTTTACTTACGGATTAGTAAGCAAACTTAGAAACTGTGAAGTAAATCATTTCCAATTATTGGTTTCATAAAACGTGTATTTAGAAATTAAATTTAATAGTGTTAAAATAATCATTGTTTTTTTCTATTGTATATACTCACTCTATTGCAATCTATTATTTGTTTAGAATATTATATATTAAAATAATTTGAGTCTTTTTATTGTATATACAGTCAAAAGTCGTTAATCCGGACTCGTTGGAACTTCGGCGATTCCGGATTATCGATTTTTCCGGATTATAGATCATCAGTTTAATTTAAATCGCGTAAGATGGCATGCAGAAATTCTAAAATTAAAAATATGAAACCGTAATGAAATAAAGAACAATTATGATCTAAAGGGTATCAAAAATTTACAAAAAAAAGCTAATATTTATTTGTTTTACTTTATTAAACATTTTCTTTCAATGTAAGTTGTTTTAAGTTGCTTCGTTTTATGTGATAATACTTTCTCTTTTAATTCTATAAAACAGACATAATTTTTTTCAGTTACAAAGTTCCGCTGTTCAAGTCCCGTTAATTGCTGTGCCGAGAATACTGACTAACTTGTCAATCGAAATTTTTTCGTTTTCACTAACCTCTCTGTCACATTCTTCATGTCTTTATCCATTTTTTGCAGCAATTCGACTTTTTGTTTGATGGACATCGAAACATACTTTCGCTTTGTAGATCCTTTACAAATTAGTAAATATAGATTCGGAAATTCTATTTGACATAATCAAAAGTTCAAGTTTACTTTTAGAAAATTGCTCTTACAGTCTGCAAAAATAATAAGCCGGATCCAATTCGAAGATTAAGGAAGAACGCAATCATCAACATTAACTGAAATAGATAATTTTAGATTATACCGTCCGTTATACATAAAACGTGCACGCGAAAACGTATTCTGCGCTTGCGCACACGCAAATGTGCAGTCGTAAGAGGTCTTACACGCATGCAACGCCTATGCGCATGTGTCAACGCGGCGCATGCGCAGAAAGTTTTTAGCTTTGAGGTCTGGATTATAGATCATTCTGCATTATGGGTGTCCGAATTAACAACTTTTGACTTTACTCACTGTATTGCATTCTATCATTTCTATCATTCATTCTATCATGCATCGAATATTATATACATATATTTTTTAGTTATCTACCTTAAATGCATCCTGTCGTAATGTGAACAGTTTACCATGGATCCCTGATAAAAAATCCATATGGTCACTTACAGTCACTGGTGATGTATATGTTTACTGTGCCAATTCTGCTGACATGGAAAAGCCAATAGCTATGTAAGTCCTCTCCCCTTTTTTGGTTTTGTTTCCACTTGCAGTTTTTTTTTTTTTTTTAATCTTCCAGCACGCGCGCATCGTATTTTTTATGGACGTTCCTTATTTTACTGTTTTTGCCACGAAAAACAACAGAAATGAGTGAATATTGATAATAAAATTTGTTAAGAAATAAAATATTCTTATTATTATTTCAAAGTACAAATGATATCACATTCAAATATAAGTAAATTATTTTTAAGTTCTTATGTTAGTGAGATGGAAATGCAGTAATGTATTTCATATAGAAAATTTGCAATTATTATTTAATAATTATATTTAAATCGAACCTAATTTTAATATTCATCAAAGGACAAGTATAGACAATAAAAAAGGAAATCCCTTGGTAGGAAAAAACGGAAGTTTAGCATTACTTTTTCAAGGAAATTCACTTCTTACTGGTTACAAAAACGCACTTTAAACTAGCTTTAATGTTTTTAATTGTTTCTAAAATATAGAAATAAAAGAAAATAAGTAATGGAAATTGTTCTTTCCATCGAAAAGTTTCCTAATCTTCCTTTTCTTCATCAGATAATTCTTGAAGAATGCGAGCAAAATCAGCTGGTTGCACATATTTTTTGGCCATGGAAACCGATATAACATTTACAGAGCCAAACGTATTCAAATTAAAATAATACACGGCAATTAATAACACAAAATTACAAAATATTTGAGGAAAAAATATTTTCCGAATGTTCCCGCACGACCACGCGTGTCGTAACTTTAACGAAAAAATAGCCACGAGCACAAAAACAATAAAAAAAAAGGTCAATGATTCTGTTGGCACATTACCCTGGGGAAAGGGTTTAGAAAGGAAAGGGAATAGAAATGACCTTCAGACGTCTCAGCTTCGATATGCAAAAAATGTGCATTAAAAACTGAATTTGTCATAAATTTTGCACATATTCGCATGCTGGAAGGTTAATGTGAACTAATATCATTCAATTAAGCAGAAATCTTAGAACTAAGGAAGCTTTGTTTAAAGAGTTTTCATATTTCAATTAAATCATGATGTATATTCATTAAGATATGTGTGTTTGGAATGCATTTTAAAGATTAGATATTTACTGAAATTAGTATGAAGTGAAATAATTTTTTTCTATATTTTCTGTTCTGTTACAATAACGTGTAATCTTTGTTTAATGTAATTTTATGGTAAATAAAAATTTGTAATTGCTATTAAATGCAAATATTTGAAAAATTAAAATGGTTTTGCACATTTTTTCTAATATTTTTGGCTGATGTGAAACTGTCATGCATTCTAATTTTGGTACATAAGCAAATTATCAAACTGTGTTTTTATTATTATTATTATTTTGCAAAATTATTAAATTTAACTAGTTTGTTAATAAAAAAGAAAAAGAAAAAAAGGAGGGGAAGAAAGTCTTTCAGTTAGTTTGTCATTTATCCTAATTGTATCATCTGCTCTCTCAAAATTCTGTTTTCTTCTTTTTTAGTGCAGAACTATGTTGAGTTGCAGGAATCCTGGAAACATGCTCGGACATCATGATAGATAGGTTCTCCTAACAATATAAAATTTTAGGAAAATCTAAAATAATTCAAAAGAAAAAAAAAAAAAAAGGAAATATCATTCTTCTTTCTCTCTCGCTAGATTGTCTTTATGAGCTCCCTAGGAAAAAGAGAAAAACGTCTTTTCTTCAGCATCTTAAATACTAATAAGTCTTAAGGAGTGTGTCCAAAAAAAACTTTGCAATGGAAAGAAAGGGAAAAAAAAAAAATATCTTGATAAATCTTATGTGTGTAGAAAAAGTGTATGGAAAGAGAAGGAAAACTTTTGTATCAATTAAAAGAAATAAGTTAATAGAAAATAATAATAAATCATATAAAGAAAGGCATATGCATCAGAAAACAGAGGCTTTAAAATGTTCTGAGTCTATTTTAGCTGTAATAGTTCCAAGTAAAGAAAAAGTAAGCTTGGAAAAATTCATGGTTTCATTATGTCAGCAGCTGTATTCAACATTCTTTACTTCATAATGGATATTTGCTTAGCCCTTGTGATTTCATAGGGTCTAAAAAATTTTTGATAAAGTTTCATTCTAGTTCCAAGTAGGGTTTATTTGAAGAGCTGCTATATCAAGAACTTGCTGTATAATTGATTGCTTATGGTGTTTGTTATAGTGTCATCTGTTTTCTTGTGGAATATTGAGGATGCTATTTTTCACTTCATCTTCCAATCATTCTTGTCTTCTTCTTCTTCTTTTATTGTTTAATTTTAATTTTTATTTTTCGTCAAATGGACTGGAAGAATGCTTCTCTTTATTTAGTTCTTTAATTTTTATATTTTCTTTATTTTTAATTTTTATGCCAAAAAGTAATGCAAATGGTATGAAGGTAGTGGTTTGAGATATTGTGCTACTTATGGTTTTTTTAATAGGAGCAATGTGTTTAAATATTTGGCAGGTTCTGTATTGTTGTTGATTTATCAGATTTAGTAGATACAGCTGATTTAGCAAAATAAAGCCAAAGAAACTCTGAGAAACCGTGGACAGCTGTATATTTGTGATTGTTGGCACTAGTCCCAAAAAGTCTGTATCATAAGTATTCAAGTTGTAAATTGCCTTTTGGAATTGGGTGAAGAAAACCTTCTGCCATACCAGATTTTTTGGAAGAGAGAATGCAAGGGATGCAGTTCAAAATGATTTTTTGAACAACTGTAGACAAATTAGGAATATAATAATCACATTTAATAATGATTTCCATTTTAGAAGCAGAGAAATGAAGCACAACTAACAATTCCTGACTTTAACTGTTATATAGAATACTGTTCTTTACAGTGTAGATTTAAATGGGTTTTTCCTTAAGCTTGCTTGATTCCAATGATGAATTCGTGGTTCATTTGTGTATTAATAGTCTTTTAAGTCACATTGTCATAAAAATTAACATAACAGGAAAGCAATTTAAAGCATCTACTGCTTTCATAAAATGCCTAGATTGATATTTAATCGTGTAATTAATAACCTCAAGGGAAAATCCTCATTGAGTAATTATAAGTGTTATATCTTTTTTAGACATTTTTTTTTCAAAAGTAAAACAATGTATAACAATTTAAGTAATTAAAAAGTAGAAACTATAGTATAATTAAATTGCTTATAAATAAGCAACTATAGTTATAATTTTAAGGATAATTGAAGATCTTATGCCATGAAGGGTAATGTGCTTAGAAGTGGCTATTTGCCAGGCCATGTGAAATATAAACGTCTTGTATCTTGTGTAATAGCAACACTTCTGAAATTTTATGACTTGGAAATACTACTTGTAAGATACTATAATGGCATCCCTGTCCCCTGATCCCCCCCATAAAAAAATTTGAAATTCTGTTTTAATCCTTTCACAGTGAAGTCACCCATATCGCCTGTGCATTCAGATGTCGTCAAGGTGCCCGAATGTCTGCATCCATTTTCTCCTGGTGCTTTTCTCCATCACATTATTGCATAGCTCATTGGTTTTATGAGTTGTTAAACAACATGCCAGTTATTCTTTTCATCTGACTTAAGTAGCTCTGTTATTTGAATGTACATAGTTCAACGAATGCCAACCTTTTTTTTTTTTTTTTTTTTTGGTACAAGTAAAATCAAATAGTAAAACGCTAAGTAATCCAAATGCAAGAGCGAGGGGACAGAGCACCTTCACGCTCAGAGACTCTCTCACTTCTCTCCCAGCATCAAAATGTTTTATTTATTTATTTATTTATTTATTTGTGTGTGTGTTCTGTATGTAATCTTTGCTGAAATAGTATACAATAAACAAAAGCAAATGTTTCTTTCTCATATTTCAGTAAATGTATATTTAGTGTGTGTGGGGGGGGGAAGCAGTTATGCAAGTGAGCTGTGATCTGTCAGGTTAATTAGTATTCCATTATCTGGTTTTACTGTCTTCCACTATCTGACCACTGGTTGCTGCTTTAATTTGAGAAGGAATTCAAATTTAAATTATGGCTTGGCAGCATGTGGATTTTTCTGAAGTAATTATGTACACCTAAATAAATCAAAATTAAATTTAGTTAAAAAAGTTTTTTTTATTAATAAAGCAGTTTTCCAAATTGCAGAGATTTATTAAATTTATACTATTCAGTTTTAAATATTTAAATCCTTACAGTGGCGTAGCTAGGTTGGGGCAAGGGGGGACAACTGTCCCTGGGCGCAGCATCCAGGCGGCGCCAAATTGATGCTACGGAATTTTTTAATGAAATGTTTTTCATTCTTGGCACACAGAAAGGGGCGCAAATTCTTCAGTTGTCCTCGAGCGCTGGAATCCTAGCTGCGCCACTGAATCCTTACTTGAAGATTTACTTTCAAGCAATTCACTGTTATCTCCACTGAGAGTTTCAGATTATATATATATATATATATTGCACCATTAATGTGTTTTTTCATTTGCATTTTCAAACGGACGCGTTGGAAAGTGAAACAGAGAATTGAGACTAAAATTTTTGACTAACTTTTTTCAGTTAATTTTCAAGAAGTTTCGTGTACAGTTTCAATTGTCTATTTTGACGAAACGTGATATGGAATTAGGTGGATTCGAAAATTATTATAAATTTCCCTGAAGAGTCAATAATGAGATTCGAATTGGGCTAATTTACCATTTACTGCTTGTTTGTTTTTGTATTTTTGCTTAAGTCTTATGTCACACTTTTATTCTATTGTTTAAAGCTTGCCTTACATTGATCAACATGTTACTTCCAATTAGATTTGAGTTTTTAATACGCTTTTTATTTGTAAATTTTCTAGTGATAATATTGTTTATTTAGTATTTACACTTTTCATTGCACTTTATATTACTTATGTTAAAAATTTTTTCACCAGAACCACAGTGTCAAAGCAACTTTTTAGTGGAAGCATTAAGAATATTCTTTTTACCTTGTTTTCTAATTTTTGCAGCTCAATGTGCAAAATTCTTGACAACAAAGGCCTTTTTTAGTTTGTTCTCCTTTCTTTAATTATATATATATATAATATATAAAGTCAAGCGTGGAGGAAAATATTTTTTTTAAAACAAGTTAGGAGAAATTTATGTTGTTTTTAAACATTTAAATATTCTAATTCAGAAGACAAACAACAAAAATCAGCGTTATATTTACAAAACGCTGATTTTTGTTGTTTATCTTCTGAATTAGTATTTATTCGGCGTGTTATTGTGTCTTAATTATTTAAATATTCGTTGAGCATCACCTATTGAAGTTGACTTTGACATAGAACAGCAGTTCTCAACATTTTGACTACGCGCACCATCTAAACAAAAATTGAAAAACTTTAGTACCCCCACTACATTTTACAATAATTATTTTTCAATTTCTCAATAGAGATAGTTAAAAAATATATATTGCCATTTACACTATAAGGATTATCCTAATTTATCTAACAGTTAAATTTTAAGTTACTTTTCTATCTCTTTTTAATTTCAAGCTTACAGCTTCTGGCCAGAACATATTTTTAGAATCGTGTTTGAATGCATATGAGGAGAAGTATTTAACTGTTAAGTTCTGCTGACTGTTTTTCATTGTGAGATAAAATTTAAAGTACATTTGAACAAATTGGACTTCTAATCCAATTTTCTGTATCATAATCCTCCAAAAAATACATGTTGAAATTATTTATCAATGAAAAACAATGCTTTTTACTGTCGGTTCCTAATTCTTCTTTAATTTTCAAATTATTTTTGGTTAGAAAACTTTATGAGAGTGGTAAAAAGCCTAAAATATTATTATCCAGTTCTTTGATTATTATTATCCAGTTATTTGATTATTAAAATATTATTATCCAGTTCTTTGATTTGAGTTTTTTTTTTTTTTTTTTTTTTATCTTTACAATTATTTTATCCCTAATGCTAAACAAATGAACAATTTGTTCTTGTAATCCTAAATTTAATCCATTTAACTTTCCAAAGATATCAGCTAAATATGCAAAACATGCCAACCATAATTCATTAAATAAGCATTTTTGCAATTAAAATTTTGAATCGCAGAGGAAAATTCAAATTTCTGATCGAAATTCAAAAAGACGATTTAAAACTTTGACTTTGGATAACTATATTACTTCAAAATATATAACAAAAGCGTTTCATGTTACTGTCCATCTTTTAGCATAAAATAGTAAATATTCTTGAATTTAAAGCTTGGTTTTTAATAAAATTAACAATTTTCACAGCTTGATTGAAAATGATTTTCAGATTTTTGGAGATTGTTTTGGCTACTAAAGCTTCACAATGAATGGAGCAGTGTGTAACTTTAGTTTCAGGTGCAACTTTCATTATTTGAGAAATAATACTGGAATGTTTTTCTGTTAAAGCTCGAGCTCCATCACTGTATTCGGCAATGCACTTATTCCAAAGAATATCATTCTTAGACATAAAACTGTCAGTTGAAAATTTTGTTTGCAGTTGTATCATGAAGAGATTCACAAAATACTCTTCTGCAATTCGTTTATCGTCTTTGAATCGTACGTAAACTAATAATTGAACAAAGTTCATTATATCAGTACTTTCATCCAACTGCAAAGCGGAATACTCACTGTGTTTTATTTTTTGAATAAGTGTGTCTTTTATGGAATTTGCCATTTCTTGAATTCCTTGACTTATGTATCATTTGATAATGGGATATTATTAAGTTCATTAGCCAATTTTTTGTTGAATGATGTTAAAGCGATATCTTTAGCTGCTGGTCATAAGATTTTCTGCAATAGTGCGAGCCTGTCCAGTTTTGGCAAGTCTTGGGCTTACTAGGTAAGTGGCTTCCAAAGCTTTTTCACTTTAACAAAACCCTTCATTACTTGTTTACTATTTTTCAGCTCCGATAAATTCTTCTTAAAATATTCTTCAGATTTATGCTTTATATTGGCATGCTTAGATTCAAAATGTCTTTTAAAAAAATGGCGGTTTCATACTTTGTTTGGATGCTAGTTCACTGCAAACAAGACATTGAGGTAGAGGGTCCATTTCAAGTAAACCCAAATGATTTATCATTATTATGAATAAAGCAAAGTTATTTATAATTTTCATTATATTTTCTATAAACAATTTTTCTTTTCAATATTCTTAGTGCTAGTAGATTGTCTTGAATCTATCACCTGCGAATCATTATTTTTCCGCTCAGTCAAACTTAGCCATTTTCCCATTTTGAAAATCTAGGTTTGCTTTATTATTTTTTCATATATATTTAAATGCAAAATATGTTATGAATTCTTTAAAAATAAATGATACTTTCAAATCGCATAGAAAAGTAAGGAATACAAAGCAATAAGAAGACAAAATACCTGCTGTCAGAGACAGAAAATCAAGATAAAAAATAATTCTAATTGAAAATAGAGCAATATGAGCCTGGAAATGGCAGCAACTTAAAGCATAGACATGCTAATAAATCGATCAACTCTAAAAGAATTAATGAGATACTAGTATCTTTTTACAGGAACTTATTTTTATTTCTTATTAAATACTACATCCATTTCTATTACTCTTTTTAAAACATCATTTATGACAAATTTTGTTATGTCTATGGCTAAGAGCATATTTGTGAAAATAAAAACAGATTATTTTGCTCAAGTCTATGAATGGCTTTTGATCTCGAACAAAGCTCAGATCGCGTAAATTTACGAGTGTTAGCGGAAAAAGTTAACAGGATATTAGGGTATTAATTTTTGAATTGATTAGTTAAAAATATTTTGTTTCTTTTGCGTACCACCTATTTTTCTCTTGCATACCCCCAGCTGAGAATCCTTGGCATAGAAGTGTATGTCAGTGAGATTTCATTATTTCTGCTCAAGAGGTTAATTGCATATATTTGTGTTTGAAATTTCTCGTCTGTCGATTTAGTTATTAAAATTAAATTAGTTTATATGATCCTATATTCATTATTATTATTATTATTTAACTTTGAATACTTTTTCTTATATTGCTTAGGAAATGGAGCCTTCTTGGTGGTGGTCATTTACGATTAGTTGAGACCTGTCCATTTGGTGTTACTTGGGGCCTAGGTTATAATTGTACAGCTTGGGTTTATAGTGGTGGATTTGGAGGAGGACCATATCATGGTAAGTTTTAATTTGTAGTAAGTCATAAACTTGTTTTGACAAGAAATTATCTGTGAGAAACTTGAATAGTATATAAGTGATTGAAATGTCTTTTCTTCTTTACCATATGAGAGCAAAAGATGTAAATTGTAAACATTTTGAATTATCTGATATGTAAAACAGAATTTGCTTACACCATATTTTGTCTTTAAAAAAAAGAAAAGAAAAATGGGAGGAGAGCAACCTAAATCTTCAGTCTTGTGTCTCCGGTACTTAAGAAGCTTTCCCATTTTAAGTATTTTTATGCATTACACTCTGAAGAGCAAGGTGACTTTGACAAAATGTGATTATGTTGCACAACGCAACCTTTAGTAATTTCTGTATGAGTAAGATCAAATAAACAGCTACAGCAGTTTCGTTTTTAATCAGCGAAATGTGTAATTCTTAATGCTTTGTATATAAAATGTTTAGTTGGTGTGTTAATTATTCCTTCCACTTAAAATGCAATTTTTTAAAAAATGGTGGTAAATATTTCCCATTTTAAGTATTTTTTGCATTACACTCTGAAGAGCAAGGTGACTTTGACAAAATGTGATTATGTTGCACAACGCAACCTTTAGTAATTTCTGTATGAGTAAGATCAAATAAACAGCTACAGCAGTTTCTTTTTAATCAGCGAAATGTGTAATTCTTAATGCTTTGTATATAAAATGTTTAGTTGGTGTGTTAATTATTCCTTCCACTTAAAATGCAATTTTTTAAAAAATGGTGGTAAATATTTAGGCTCCACTGGCATTTCATCTTTCCTTTTGTGCTATTCATTTGTGATTGCTTCTTTTCATCTTTCCTCTTCAACTGCTTCTGTGTGCAGTTGCTTTTTTCTTGCATTTATTATTGTTTGCAAAACTGTATGCGTAATTCTTTGCTATTGAGAATAGTATTCTTGAAAACTGTAACTTTGAAATGTGGTTACATATCTAAATGTAAATTATCAGCTTAAGTTTTTAAATATTCCTTAAGATCTTTTACTATATAAAAAATTTTGGACTAATTTGAAATTAATTAACTTTCAAATTAGAATCAAAATCTAAATTAACTGGCTATCATTGAAGAATATGGCATAAAATTCAGAACATCTGAATAGCATATTTTCATTTCATATTCTGAGACAAAATTTGAAACACCTGAATAGCTTACTGTTGTTTTGTATTATTTCACAAAATTCAGAACAGCTTACCGCTTAAAAGCATATATGGCATGATTTGTCTAGGGGTATTTTTCGTAGCGATGTGCCAGTCTGTGCATCAACAACATATATTTTTACTCAAGAGAAACAATTGTAACGTAAACACATATTTTTACAAAAGAAAATGTGCAGGCCTGTGCCTCTTTACATCACATGATTTTCTTTTAGAAATGCTGCCAAGAAATTTGAGAGAAATATGATGGCTAATGCTTTATATATATGTTTTCTTGTTCATGCACAATTATTTATATTTGTTCTTTGATTTTTTTTCCAAAAAATAAAATGTTTAATTATAATTCTAAAAACAGATATTTCTGTTGGAATACAAGAATTCTGTAAAGAGAAGCATACGTCAAAATTAGTTTTTTGTTCTCTTTCTTTTTAATATTTTTTATTGGAATCAATAAGAATCCCAAAACTTAATTTATTTATTTGTCAAATGTCAGGTACATTAGCCAAATGTTCCACTGTCATTGGCCGTCCACTATTACATAAAAATCACACAATGGCAAATCAGCTAGTCCAATGGGAAATAAATGATTCTGTAGATAGTCATGCTCCATCAATAGTCTAAAAGATGCAACCACAGCTATTCGCGAGTGGTCAGGAACAAAAGCTGGGTTTGTTGAGAGAACACTCCAAGGCTTGCCATCACAAGCCCGAGTGGCAAAATCTCTAAAAGTCTGTTGATATGTTAGCAATGTCAGAAGCTTAATAGAATGGAGGCTTGAACTCATTTTTGACTTTTGGAGAACTGTAACCCCCTTTTTGCAAGCATATCCACCATCTTATTCCCATAAATACCGCAGTGCCCAAAACTTAATTAAGAAACACTTTTTTTTATTTTATATTGATATTATTCATAATTTTCAGTTCTATTCAAGATAATTATTCTGTTGCTTAAAGTTTTCTTTTGTTTAAACAGGAGCACCTGGGTGCAATACTGCTGTTGGTCCCATGTCTGATGTCAGATGTTTGTACATTTATGAAAATCAAAGGTGGAATCCCTTGTCAGGTTTTACTGCTAAAGGCTTGCCTACTGATCGCTACATGTGGAGCGATCAAACAGGAAGGGTAGAATGTACAAAAGACAATACACATTTACCATCTGGTCATTGGCAGTGGGTAGGTGAAATCTCTCTACTTGTGAATAATTTAAAAAAAGATTTTCTATAGTGCATATATCTTTTTGCAACAGAGTGCATTACTGGAAGGAGAGATGAAGAAAATAATGCTATTATATAATTGTTTATTGTTGATTACTAAGCATTCTATGCTTATTATTTTCATTTTAAAAGACTTTCAAACATAATGACCTTCAATTTGCAGTTTTATTTAAATGTTTGATAATAATAACATTTATATGGCTCTTTGTTTTAGATTTCTGACTGGTGTATAGATTATAAAACTCCTGGGGGAGTAGATAATGAAGGTTGGCAGTATGCTACAGATTTCCCAAGGTCATATCATGGGTATAAGCGTTTCACAGATTATGTTAGGAGGAGGAGGTGGTATAGGTAATATGTTTTCTCCATCCCTTTTGCAAACAAACATTTTCCCTAATTCTGCAGTTATGTATAAAAATGTACCTTTTTACACTCCAGTCAGACTTTTATATCAAATAATATTTTACCCTATCGGATCTCTATTCATAACTATTATATTATTATATATAATCAATTCTTTTGTATCTTAAAAAGGAAAATTGTAAAATGTGAAATTGCATTAATTGTGGATTTTTATATTATCTTCAACTAAATATGCCAGTGACTCTTGACATTTTTCACTGCATTCTATTATATGAGTATTGTCCAATAGAAGTACAGTAAAAGCATAATCATCCGGAAAGCTCGGAAAATGCTGAATTCTAGGTAAATGAAAGTTCAAGATAGTTGAACATATAAAAACTGGAATTCACGATAGAAAAGCCAAATGAATGGAAGAAGTTTCTGGTATAAAATTGTAAAAATAGTCATCTTATTTGTTACCAGTATGAATATCAAAGGCCTTATAATATTTTTGGGGGGATGCATTTCAGATATGAAAGCCAACATATTTCGTAGGCCTTAAACATGAAAGCTGGCAGAGATGTTGCCAAACTTTTTCAACATATTGTTCTTACATAAATGTAGATATCAGTTACAGATGTAGCATATAAAATCTTAAATCATTTATCACCAGTTTTTCATATTCCATTATCACTGTTTATCAACTTTCAAATAAAGTCACATGCCATGCTTTTATCAATGCCAGAATCCTGCAACTTAGAAACTAACCTAATACATGCTATAGAAACTAACCTAATACATGCTCAGAAGCCAAACAACAAAAATCAGCGCCATACCTACAAAATTTTCACAGGACTAGTTTCGATGGTTTTACCGAACCATCATCTTCAGCTGCAAAACCGCAAATGAACAAGATAGGAAATAATGATTAGATAAGAAAGCCTGGACAAGAATAAGCAAGTGGCGCCATCTGTTGGTGAAACCAGAACTAAAACATAATTTCTCTAAAAGCCGAAGGCAAATTTGGATTGGAATTAGGATCGTTAACTAGAACAGAAAGATTTTTATGAATGTGAAATGCCTCTAGAAAATCCAGTTCTCCAATGGAAGATGTTTTTATAAGGGTAAGGAAAATAGGTTGCCATATATTAAGAAGTTTGCCAAGTGAATTATTCTTGGCGCAAACTGAAAAAAATTGCGCCAAGATAGATTTTTGAATTTCTCAGTAAATTTTGCTCCAAATTTTACAAAATTTAATATCTAGGCATAATTTGAGTCGTTCCACCGAAATTTGGAAAAAAAATTGGTATGTTATTTCAGAAAAGTCCAATTTTGTCAAAAACCTATGTTAAAAATTATTATTAAATTTTATATATATATATATATATCCTAATCGCGCTTTGAGACATGGAAAAACATTGGTGTGGTATTTTTTAATTATGGCAAAGCACACTAGGCTATCTGCCTAAGAGGAGGGATGCCTTCGTGGAGGACTTTCTAAGGGAAACTGGCTCGTATACACGTTACACATGGGGAAAACCACGAAAACACCCATGCAGCCAGCCCGTTCGCGGGATTCGAACCTCGGACCGAACTACCAGTGTTCAGCGACTTTACCGCTCGGCCGCTGGTGGGCGAAAACGCAATTTGAATTTTGTCAATCGGCCCAGTAGAACGGGAGATATAGAACTGCCTCCTCCTTTTGCGCAGTATATATCAAAGGCAATTAATTATGTATGATTTTACATATTTTTTCATTTCCATTATTACAGTTGATTCATGTATTACTTTTATGTGTTCCAGTAAGTAATACATTGTAAAATTCTATGTTTTCTAAAATTTTGATAAAATTCTGGTATGTTACAGGAAATGTAGATTAACTACTAGTGGCCCTTGGCAGCAACTGGGTAATACTCCTTTACTTGATGTATCATTCCAAGTTGATTCTTGCTGTGAAAATGATTCCATAGCAGTGTGGGCAGTAGCAATAAATGGTGATGTTCTGTATAGAGTTGGAGTATCTGAGAGTTGTCCCAAGGTAAATTATGAAAATGCATAGTATATAGAAATCTTGAGTTCTATATTATTTAACAAATTAATGGGCAGTGCATTACAAATAAAAATTTCAGAGTAACTTTTAATGCAGATGTAGCAGTTGACATGAAATGACTGATTGTTACTGCATGAAGTCTTAGTGAATGTATAAGTTTGTATTTATGGCTTACTTTGCATATATCATTGTAATTAATCTAAACTACCTTTGAGTTAAACTACCTTGCCACATTTGAAATATGCTTCAATGTAGTAGTAACAATGCACAAAGTGCATCTCCTCCTACTACTCTCTACTCCTCCGTCAACCTCCTCCTACATGTCTACCGGAACTTCGGAGAGCATTGCTTTTTGAGTGTAATGTAATATCCCCAAAGATCAGATCGATAATTTGATACTCAGCATGCCTAGGCGTTGTACGGACTGTATTGCATCGTCTGGGAGACATACAATGTATTAACAATCATACCAACCATGTAATATTGGTTTTTTGTAAATAGGTGTTTTTTTTTTTTTTTTTTTTTTTTTTTTGCTCCAAGGAGAAAAATTCGCTAATTTTTTTAATAATATCAAACATATAGCATCTTTTTTTGCTCTTTACCTTTTGTTTAATAAATAAGCTTTACGAATAAGTCAATATATTAATAAATAAATATTTTAAGTAAATATTACTGATAGGATAGAAAATGAGGTGGTGGTATGCAAGGGCTGGAATAGCATTTAAAGCCTCTGGAACTGCTTTGAATATGATGAAAACAAAAGCTATTAGCTATAAGGTATTTTCTTACCATACTGTTGAATTGGTATGTATTCTTGAGTAGGAGTATTGGAAGAACTATTGGAAATCTCATTTCATTTTGCACCTCCCTACTGTGCTATATTACATTTCATGAGCATTATACATTCATCTGGAGACTTTTCAGTTCGATTTTTTTTATTATTATTTATTATCATAAATCTTTGTTTCATCCCTGTAAATGTGGCAGTTAAACATAACCTTAAATTATTAATTAATTTTAATGCATATCTTTCACTCTATATTTCTTTTGTCTCATGTCACTCTTTCATATTTGTCATTTTCTCAAGGAAACTTCACAAGTCACAGGTTAATTTTTGTTACACATTGCATCTTTTCCTAATTTTTTAAGACTGTGTAATATTTTTAATGATTTCTCAGTTGTGAATTTGAAAGCTTAATTATATGCAAAAAGGAATTGATTCATTTTTCATATCTGTATATTTATTATTTTCACAGGGAGAAAACTGGATTCATGTTCCCACTGAAAAATCATTTTGCTCAATATCTGTTGGGGGAGATGGAGCTGTATGGGCAATTGCTAAAGATGGTTCTGCTCAGTTACGACATGGTATCACATCATCCAAACCCACAGGTATTTTACTAAATCAGGAAAGTATTAAAACATTATAGTACAAGTTTTATCTGAAAAGTATATTTTCGCTGAATTTGCATTTTTATTTCAAATTTAAAATATTTTTCAAATAAAATTATGTCCTTTTTGTTCTAAATTAATTTCAGCATGTGTATTTGTTATATGTAATGTTCGGCAACCACATGAAAGCCTGCATAACAAAATCCCACAGAAAAAATATTATAGACATGATTGCCCACATGACATGTAGCACATAGATAAAGGCCCACATCTAAAAAAAAAAACTACACTGCTAAACACTCATCATGATAAAATCTCTCTCAGATATGTACACTACACATGAGCAATTAATTTTCCCATGTTTTCAATTTAAAAGCAAATTCTTATTTCAAAATATTATTACAATTCAGTATTTCAAAATAGAAATAAATTCTTAAAATTATGTATTTTGTTTCAATTTCTGTAAACTATATGTGTGTGTTGCAGCAATTTATGTGACATCCATAGTTTTAAATATTTTTCAACCATTCATCTGTCACTCCACATATGCATACATAATATTTATTATTATACTTAAAACCTTGAATATATTTCTGACAAGAGAAGAACATTGGGGATATTAGTCTTAAGCTTTCATTAAAATGAACAAAATTACATAGAGTATAAATTGCATGTAAATATACACTCATGTCCATAAATTAAGGATAATTCGGAGTCACACAGAAATCGAACTCTAAAATAAATATATCACCTGTAAAATCACTACATACATCTTCAAGAATCATATGCAAATTTCAGGAAGTAACCAGATAAGCACACAATTTATAAACAATCACAATGACGAGTGTGTAAGAGAAGGATATATAAGGAATACAGGCAAAGAAGTAAAATTGTTCGCAGGTGCTTTATAAGCATTTCAGTGCAATAACCGAATAGTTATGACACAAAGGACACATTTGGATGATTTTTTACATGGTAGAATTATCGGCCGTCTGGAATGTGGGCGTACTCAACTGGAAGTATCAGACGAACTTGGAATTGCCAGAGTGTCATCTCCAGGCTTTGGCAACGATTCCAAGATGATAGTAATGTGAGTAGACGTTACAGACAGGTCGCCCCAGAGATACAATGCCGAATGAAGGACCGTATTTGGCAGTTACTGCCAAAAGAAACAGGCAGAGCACAGCCTGAGACCTGTCTCATCAGCTGTCTTCAGCCACTGGTACGACAATTTCAAGGCAGACTGTATACAAACGCTTAGGGCAGATTGGTCTATATGCTCGTAGACCTGTCAGATGTGTTCCACTTACTGCAACTCACTGTCGCCTGCGGTTAGCCTGGAGTAGAGAGCATGCATTGTGAACACTGCAACAGTGGGCTTGTGTGATGTTTTCCGACGAGTCCAGGTTTAGCTTCCAGTTGTCATTGAACGACACCGTTACGGTGGTGCAGGAGTGCTCGTTTGGGGTGGAATTATTCTGGGTTCCAGAAATGACCTGCATGTTCAAATTGGAACCATGACAAGCCAAATCTGTCAGGACGTCATTCTGAAACAACATGTGCGTTTGTTTCGGGGTGCCATGGGCGCACAATTTGTGTTTATGGATGACAACGCCTGTCCTCACCGTGCAAACATCGTAAGCGAATGCCTTCAATCAGAGGATATCAACGGTATGGACTGGCCAGCATTCTCACCGGACTTGAATCCAGTAGAGAACGTGTGGGACATGCTTGGCCGACGAGTTGCAGCCCGTCAACCGCCTCCTACATGTCTACCGGAACTTCGGAGAGCATTGCTTTTTGAGTGTAATGTAATATCCCCCAAGATCAGATCGATAATTTGATACTCAGCATGCCTAGGCGTTGTACGGACTGTATTGCATCGTCTGGGAGACATACAATGTATTAACAATCATACCAACCATGTAATATTGGTTTTTTGTAAATAGGTTTTTTTTTTTTTTTTTAATTTTTTTTTATTTGCTCCAAGGAGAAAAATTCACTAATTTTTTTAATAATATCAAACATATAGCATCTTTTTTTGCTCTTTACCTTTTGTTTAATAAATAAGCTTTACGAATAAGTCAAATTTGTTTTGCTTCTAACTCTTCCTTTGCCTGATTTTGCATTATCCTTAATTTATGGACATGAGTGTATATCATGTACAGAGGATAATTTATTACTATATTATTAAATTCTTTTTAACAGCTCCAGAAAATTTTATGTATATTAAATTTAATATGTTGAAAAAAAAAATAATATTGAATTTGTGTTCTGTTGGAAGAAAGAGAGAGTGTTTTGCTAAGATTATGATGATATTTGTTTGCAAAATCAAAAATAATGTTATAATTGTGGATTAAAAGCAAGGTTTCAAATAGTTTAGTTAAATTTCAACTATTATGCTTTTATAAAATTTAATATTATTGCGACTTGAAACCTTACATTATCAGGTTCAATTGTTCTCTTACCTTCTTCGGAAACATACAATGACCGACTAGAACAGAGAGCTTACTAAAGTATGTTCACTAATTGTAGTAAGTAGACAGGATACAGACGAAGGGGTATAAAAACCCTTTATTTTTTCTTTATATACAATGACTTCCGTACTTCGGAATACAATGACCCTCCACTCGGGGTCTAACTTAAAGATATCAAAATAAAACTAAACTCTAATTTAACTTTAGAATAAGATTGGCCTTATAATACAGAAAGCGTATGTAGCCACAGAGACTGTGAACACTACAATACGTTTAATTTATCAAGAGGATTAAAACCTCTGGCTGGAAGGCAAAGTAGCAACTGCGTCAACTTCTAAGGTAAGCGGCCTGCTTCGAACTCACGGCTTCCTCTCTTCTGCTTGGCAAAAAGGCCACACTTAAATACTTGGCGTTCGCCAGACAACTTTGCATAAACTCCTTCACGCTTATAATTCTGGCCGGAAGTAGAAAATAAGAAGTGATAGTAAAGATTTAAAATAAAATAAACGTTAGTAAAACTTAAGATCCTTACATACTTCCCGCCAGAGTTAATTAGTTTGAAACTGAGGTCTAAAACGACCTTGTTGAAAACTTTTAGCTCTAGAATCTAACGCGAGGCCAACCTTTTACAAAACACAACTTCGCTAGAAACTAGAAAATTTTAAAAGAAAGAAATTGTTACAATAGCAGCTCCCGGAATATACAACAATCTTTTTTTTTCATCTGTACTGCATCAAAACGGAGCTTATTCAATTCTGGTTCCTTCCAGAGATCTGGAAGGAAAACTAGTTTAATGAAATGTTACAGAATGACATTGCAAATAAAATATAGATATACTTTTCTTAACTTCTATTTCATCATGACTATTTAATTATCTCTCCCCGTGCTCTCTGACAGGTGTTGTAAAAACACCAAACACGAATGTGTTTCTGTCTATGGTTCACAACTTCCTCCAAATCAAAACACTAACGTGTTAAAATTAACATACGAGACCTCTTAACACACCCCTAATTTAAACTCTAGCCCCTGAGGTACTATTCTGAAAGTGGCTAACTCTAAAGTGTAGCGTCAGAGAGCCTAACTACATCATTCACCTTTACACATATTCCGATGATTTAATCTTTACAGTCAAACGAATAACAAATTTTTAACATTACTTTCACTTTTACATATCACGTTATTTTAAACATTCAAAATAACAGTTAACATGTATACAAGAACATATCAAGATGCCGTTAATTTTCCACATTGAAAACATACATAGTAGTACATTGTTAACTTCTATTCTTTTCAAAGCAAGTGTCAATTCTTTCTACATTGAAATAATACTACATTTCAAAAAGTCTTTCAGACTAAACTTCTTTCTTGTTAGAATGTTTAAATAAAATTATACAATAACTTTACAATATTTAAGTACTTTAGACAACGCTATTAACATCAACTTAGTTTACGCGCGAGTAATTGAAAAACATAATAAGAAAATCGGTCACAACTCATTCTCGCCCTTTTGGCGATAAAGGTAGACCTCGCATGAGGTAAAACTCTTCAAATCTGCACTTGCAGTAAGAATGAAAGATTAACTTAAGTTTGTAAAGTAACACAAAATTTTACTTATCTTTGTAATATTCAGACATCCTTTTCTGGGCCCAGTCTTAAAGGTGCTGCAAAACCGTAGCTTGGTTGATCCTCCTTCTTGTACGGGCTCGCCCTTCAGTGCTTTCCTCTGGAAGCTTCCGTTTTTCACCACTACGGCCACCCTTGAACATCTTCCTTTTGTGCTCTGCTTGTGGTCTTGGCCGTTTGAAGGCAGCTGGTCTTGGTGGAACCGGGAAACTTCTGTCGTGATCCTGCTTGGACCTCGTTGTTGGCCGTTCAAATTTTTCTTGTACTTTTTCCTCCGCAGCTGATGGCCCTTCCGCAGTTCGGCGACTTTTGCTGCGGAGAGTTCTGTCGGATGAGTCAATCTTCCGTTTCACAGCCGGGTTATAGTTGCCGTCCTTTCTCCCGGTCTTTTCCACATGTCGTCCTTCTCCCTTCTTCATTCTGGGGGTGTCGTGAACTCTGTTTTTTGGACGGTGGAACGGCTTCTTTTCTTGTACCTTCAATTTTTCCGCGGGGCAATTTTCTTTTCACTTGCTTCTGTCTCTCATTGGCTTGCCCTTGTACTTGTCGTTTTCCCACCTCTGGAACTTGTACCTGCGGTGTCTGCCGTACCGGATCCTGCAAAAGATCTGAAAGATTTGCATTTTATTACGGTCTAGAATGGTTTTACTGGTCAATGTTTGCGGAACAGGTTTCACCATTTCTTGCCTTTAATACTACAAAGCGTGAGTTATTTTTTCTATAACATATGGTCCTTCAAAGCGTGGGAAAAATTTGGCAGTTTTATCTTCTGGTGCTGAAGAAAGTGAATGCTTAATTTTTAGTACTTCATCCCCTACTTTATAAGTTACTCCCGTCGTTTCAAATCATAATAGAGCTTCTGTTTTCTTTGTGCTACTTCCGTATTCTTCTTTGCTTCCT